TGTGAGCCTTCTCTCAGGGGATTCATCTGAATCAGTCTGATGTACATTTCAAACACGAGGAATGAATAGCAGCTGGAAAGTGGGATTTCAGAATGGCTTCAGCCTGTCAATGCTTCCTGCTATGGTCCTGTGAGCTTTCTTACCGCTGGTTGTCTAACCAAAGCCTTTCAAGTGAGCAGATGTGGGTGATTAGGGGTCACCCGCAGACACATTTTCCTGATGGGGACATGAGCGGTTTTGTTGTAGGAACTATCTACCCATTTTCCCATAAACTAGGTTATGCACAAGAGCAGTGTGGAACGGAGGGAACAAAATCAGAATATTTGTCCCATTGGGTTTAAAGGGTGTGGACTTTATTTTATGGCTTAAGCAGAGAGCAACAAATCTAGTTCTATTCAGGGAATTTAATTTGCATCTCATTAACTACCTTAGCAAAATTCAACATTAGCCTAGAAAGGCTCATTTGATTAACGAACTAGTGGCCATTACTTCTCACAGGCTAATCGAGTTAATTTTAGTGGCAGTAATAATGTCTCCCTGGAAAGTTACTGTGAAAACCGAATAAGCTACCTCACATATTCTGGGTGATTTGCAAATTATACAATGCTTAAACAAATATAGACATTTCAGGACTATTTATTGCTGTGTGACAGCCTCTAGGTTCCGTTTTTCCCATACATATTCCTAAGAGATGTTATATCACTATTTAACCAAGGGGAATCTAAGCCTGACTTACTATTAACCTTGTTTCCAACTGGTAGGTTAATTCTATAAATATATTTAGAAAACTTGTAGTGGCGTTTCATTCATATTTTAATAGATAAAGCTTGCCTGAAGATCAAAGAGTAAAAAAGCTGCCTTGGTCAGCCTTACAGACTAGGCAGTGGTGACACACACCTTTAACCCCAGTAGCCACACTAGTTTGCCATTGATACCAGGTGGTGCATGCCTTTAATCCCAGTGGTGAACACCTTTAATCCCAGCCTCTGAGAGGATGAGGATTATAAAACAGGAGGAGACAGCTCTCAGTCACAGTCTCATTCTGAGATTCCTGGAGGCAGGATCGCCATTCCGGACTGAGGTTGAGGTAGGAGACAGCAGTTAGCTGCTTTGCTTTTGGGATCTTCAAGGTGAATCCCCAATTTCTCTCTCTGAGGTTTTTATTAATTGTGCCTCAAAAACTATCACAGACCAGCAATGGACAACCATAAAATTGTTAAACAGGTATATACATTGAAAGCACAGCGGTGTGTGTGTGTGTGTGTGTGTGTGTACTTTTTTTGCAGCTCTGCTTGAGACCAACACAGCTCTTTACTCTTGCCCATATTGTGTGCAGAATTTGGGAGTTGGAGCCCATATTTGGAGAGGGTATAAAGGCCTTCCAGTTCCAGGCAATCAGAGTGGGAGACGCTATTTCCTCTCCCGCTAAACCAAAAGCAAGACTCCGAAGGAAGCAGGGTTTATATGTGAGTTTCTGCAGTCACTTTCCTCCTGAGCTGAATAGTGGGCAATAAATGGAACACAGCACCGCAGAGTAGTGAGCCAGACACAGAACGGGCTACATGGGCACCAGGATCCCACAGTTCTGAGAGCTGGGATATTGCAAGTCAAGCTATGGAACAGCCAGGATACCATAGTCTGAGGTCCCTTCCAAGAGGGCTACCTTAGTTAGGGTTTCTGTTGCTGTGAAGAGCCATCATGACCATGGCAACTCCTATAAAGGAAAAGATTTAATTTTGGTGGCTCGCTGATAATTCAGAGGTTCAGTCTATTATCACCATGACAGGGAGCATGGCTACCTGCAGACAGACACGGTGCTGGTGAAATAGCTGGGGGTCCTACATCTCACAGTCAACAGGAAGTGGTCTATGACACTGGGTGGTATGTTGAACATAGGAAACCTCCAAGCCTTCCCCCACAGTGACACATGTCCTCCAACAAGGCCATACTTACTCCAACAAAGCCACCCCTTCTAATAGTGCCACTCCCTTTGAGCTTATAGGGGCCAATTACATCCAAACTACCATAAGGGTACTCCACTGAAGATCACAGTGACCATAATCAAGCCTCTTTAGCCACCACAATGAAACGTGATTGTGCAAAGGACTTCATCTGTCCAGTTAGTTATTCAGAGATCTCAAAAAAGCTGGGTTATTCACAAAATATCTCTGGAAGATTCCATAGATAGACATGTCTAACTTTTAGATGGAAGAGACTTCAAGCATGTCACACATACCTAAAGATATTACCTCTATTGGTGTTTATGCTTATCCTGATGTTGGTATTAATATGGCCTCCAACAGACAGGCAGGGTAGACAGTGAAATCTCAGAATATGGCCAATCAATTCCATACTAAGCTAATATGGCATGGTGTTTTTGAAAGATCCGTAAGACTTTTTTGATATATAAAGAAATATATTGATTTCTTTTTTAAAAAAATAAGTTTATTTTTTATCTTTTTTATTTTATTTGTATTTTTACTTAAAAATAAAATTTCCTCCCCCTCCCTCTCCCTCTATCTCCTCCCCCCTCCCCCTCCCTCTATCTCCTCCCCCCTCCCTCTCCAGTCCAAAGAGCAGTCAGGGTTCCCTGCCCTGTGGAAGTCATTGATTTCATCTTATGGAACCACTATGGAAAACAGAATAATCTCATTTTAAAGATAGATGAAAGCAAAAGTAAGTTTAAGAAATGCCAGATCATAGCTTATAAAAAAAAAGTAATATTAGTCCCAAAAAAACCCATCCACTGATTAAAACCTCTGCTTAGTTGTCACTGGTATATAACATACCTTTAGAGTGCACCACCGTAAGAAGAAAGTCAAAGTAAACCTATTACCGACTGGTAGTACCCACTCCTGTGCTTATGTGTTCTCTGGACTCAGGGTACAGCCTGTTTAGCTCACTCTATGCAAACCTGTAAGACTCCAGGTCCCACACAGAACTCAAAACCACAAAAGCTGGATTAATATACATTGTGGTGGCAAGTGGCAAACAAAAGACTGGAAAGCTGGTTTATGGGTCAGCTGGAGGGAAACTGGCTCAGGTACTGAACTCGAGGCTAGAGGATAACCAGAATGTTCCCTCCATAGTTCCTACGTGTCAGCTTCTTCCTTTGCAAAGACAAAGCAGCAGTGTGTGTGTGCATGTATGTGTGCATATGTATGTATTTAGGGGAGGACCTCATGCTAAAGCCACACCAGATTCTTCTAGCTTCTGGGAAGAAGAGGAAGAAAACTCTTTTCTCTCTCACTGTGTTTGAACATGGGAGAAATAATCTGATACCCTATATCACATGACAATTACTGGACATAGAGTAGACAGAGGAGCACTATCAAGAATGATATCTTAGAAACACATTGCCCTTGCTGGGCGGTGGTGGCACACACCTTTAATCCAAGCACTCAGAAAGCAGAGGCAGGCGGATCTCTGTGAGTTCAAGGCCAGCCTGGTCTAACAGAGCGAGTTCCAGGATAGCCAACATTACACAGAGAAATCCTGTCTTGAAAAAAAAAAAAAGAAATAAGAAACCTGTCTCTGGTTCCAGGATTCTGGCCATGAAGAAAAGACTGTTAGTAGAGAAGCAATAGATACTGGACAGACATTTAAAACTGCAATAAAACTCAACATGCTACTTGATTAATGGAAATGTACCATGAAGAAAAATGTCAGATAAAGCAAAAAAAAAATACACATGAAGTCTTGACAATCAATTTTCACAGATATGATTGGCTGTGATAGGGAGCAAGGTACGGCAGAATTCATTTAGGTAATGTTTATTTTGCTTTTCCTAGAATGTAAATTTATCTATTTGGTATAGCAAAAAGAAAAGTTAATGCCAGGCATGGTGGTACGTGCCTTTAATCCCATCAGCACTTAGGAAACAGAGGCTGGCAGAACTCCGTGAGTTCAAGGTCAGCCTGTCTACATAATGAGTTCCAGGGCAGCTGGGACTGCATAGAGGCCTTGTATTAATACCTCCTGCTCCCTGGAAAAAAATGAAGAAACAAACAATAATGACTTGATTGCTGACCTAATGTGCGGTCATTCTAGCAGCTGTTGTTGTGTTTCCCCATGTGGAACTGCACCATTCCCAAGTGAGAAGAAAGAACAACACATTTATCTCTGTCAATCTGTAATTTTTATTATAACACTTAACAGGTTTTTAAAAATATGGCACTCTTTGAACAAGACTCTTGAGCCATCTATTCAGGCGTGGACAATGCTAGAAACATTCTTAGAAGCCCCTTGTCTTAAAGTAACAGACTGGAATGATAAGCAAGTGCATCTGAAGACATCTCCATATCAACAATAATATTTTCAAATGTTTCCTCTATCATAGACATATTTACTCTCATGGACCTTGTGCCTTCTGAGACAGGTTCTTCTTATCAGTGCTGGCAGCGGATGCTTTCAACCATTGAGCCAGTCAGAAAGGCAGTACTGCACAGGGAGTACTATTGGGGGAAGCCTGTCTTCCCCTTCACATACGGTACAGGTTAGCTGTGGCTATACTTGAGAAGTGAGTTTCAATGATACCCATCACCTGAAGCATGCATACATTCCTATCATTAGTAGCAGAAGAACGGTATATTCCAATGTGCAGACACCAGCTGTCCAGCCTGGCTTCAGGGTACCTAGGCTTTCACCCATCTGATCCTGAGGAAGCTTCTGAATTGACACTTCCTGGTAACTGTTTGGGACTGAGGCTACTTCGGAAGAAGCATCCCTTATAATCCCAAGCCACTCTGTTCATTCCCCAACACAAAGATTTGCTAACAACTCAGATCTGAGACCCTCCCATCTTTCCCGCTACACAGATAAGGCTAAAGTACTCTGCTAAGTGAACTCACTCAAGCAGATGAAATATCATTATTTTTTCCTGTAGAAAAAAGGCATTCACTGTATACGATCTTTGCTAAGCAGAATGGAGAGCCTAATGGGGAAATATCTTGGAAGATCATTTTTGTAAACACTGCTTCTATTGTGATTTAGGACTCATGATAAATTGCCCACAGTTTTTTGTTTTTTTTTTTGGCTTAGAAGATGTTGTATGAGTAAACACTGAGCCTCAATAACAGAAATAAAGTCTTCTGAATACAAAGTATAGCACAGTATCTAAAAATAGGAGAACTAGGCAAGTATGTCAGGAGGTTTCTAGTCCTCTTCCTGTAGTTAGCCTCAGCTGTTAGTGCACATAGGTAGATGGTTGGTTGTTTAAAGGCAACATCTGGTGGGATGCCAGCCCTGGTAGATCTATGCCTTGTTCTTTTCTCTGCTTACTTTCCCCAGAGACATTCCTCTTGGCCTTCTTGGGTGTCTATCTGGCTATAGGAAGTGTGCAGGGAAGGAGGATATTTTTAAAGAGCCAAGCAAAATCACCAAATCAGAGCTTTCTTTCAATACAAGAGGAAAGCAAAAGATATATAGTCATCCAAAAAGTATTCTGCCTAAGCCACAAATTCACATGAAAACTTTCTCTCAGGACTGTTACGTCACGGTTTAGTATATACAGCATGAAAGATGAACATCCTTTCAATGTGAGCACCAATGGCAAAAACAACCTTCTTAGTAATATGAAAGAAAACCACAGTGAAATGTTTCCCTATTGTTTTTTGTGGAAACATTAGAACACACTCAAGGGAACAGTCTACAGCTGCACGCACCCAGAAATACTAGAAGAAAACTAGTTGAAACTTCTGGTTAAATATATAATTTTGATTACTGACATCCTTTTAATTAAATCCTATGTGTTCAAAAGGAAATCTTAGCATCCTGGGACAAACGTCCTCTCCACATTTCAAGTTGAGATCTGCTGCATTGGCATGAGTTTTGGTGACACCTGGTGAAAGAGAGAAAGAAAAGTTCAAAGTTTACTCCACCACAGCATGTTCAAGTACGGTTCCAGTTTATTTTTAATTTAATTTTTTTTTAAATTAAGAAATAAAGACTGAAGGAAATAGTAAGTTTCAAACGTGGTCAACAGATACAGAGTAAAGACGTCCTACTTTATATAACTCAGGTGTTCATCAGCAAAGCAATGAGTGACTAACCAATTTAACTTAACATGCACTGCAAATGACATTGCAGAGATAGCGGGCTTTAAGGCGGTAGGAAATCACTCCCCCTCTCCACTTTGGCCCACGAAGCGCACAATGACTAATACAAGTATGGTCACAATGAAAAGCAATAGTGCAGAAGGTCAAGCCAGTTACATTCCCACACGGTTGGGAGAGGGACTCATGAAGCCTACACACCTAGCTGAACAACTACTGGCAACTGATGGTTGTGAGGGGAAGGGGAGTCATTTTTCTTTGGAAGCGTGGCCCTTGGTGAGTAGTCCAAATTAATCATTATTTGATAAATATTTGGGACGAGCCTTCTTTCAAACTGTGAGCACAAGGGGGGAGAAGTGAACCTTGGTTGTGAACATATTGGGTCATGGTGTCACCAAGTAGGTACTCAGATGGCCAATGCACAAACAATTCTGTAAGCCAGTGATTGTAAGAGAAATGCAAAGGAAAGCCCTGAGAACTGGTGGTTAGAAGCCAAAGTGGAAGAGCATGGGAGTTCCTCACAGAATTAAAAATGGAGCTTGCATATGGCCCAGTCACCCTACTTCTGGGGATAGGTCCAAAACATTTAAGAATAGGATCTCAAAGAAATACTGTATACTAGGGTCTATAACTGCAATATTCACAGTGCCGAAGAGGTAGAGGTCACCCAAATGTCCAAGCACAGATGAACACTATAATGCCCTGAAAAAACTGGAGATGATAAAAAAATATAGAGGGCTATATTATGCTCATAGATTGGAAGAATAATATAGTTAAAATGTATACACTATTCAATGTAATCTATAGATCTAATGTGATTCTTTATTTAAAAAATGTGCATGAGTGTTTTCCCTGCATGTATATATGTGCATCATATGTGTGTAATGCCTGTGGAGGCGAGGAAGAAATCACTGGATCCCCTGAAACTGGAATTACAGACACTTGAAAGCCACCATGCGTGTGGGTGTAAGACTGAAGTTAGGTCCTACTCAAGAGCAGCAAGCTTTCTTAACCACTGAGCCATCTCTAGCTATGAAGTTCTTATTCAAAATACCAGTCACCTTCTTCATAGAACCAGAAGCAATACTGTAATTTAAATGGAACCACAAAAATACTTGAATAGCCAAGGGCATTTTGATCTACAGGGCAAAGTAGGAAGCATTACAATATTTGAGTTAAAATACACTGCAAATCTATGAAAACTGAAATAGTGTGGTGATCTTACGTATTGTAAATCTATGGCAACTGAAACAGCATGGTGTTTTTATGAAAACAGACATAGATCTGGGGGAAAGGCTAAAGGCCAGTCATCTAAAGTCACTTGCTTTGGACAAACGCACTAACAATATTGCAAAACTGAAAACACTGAGGAAAGGCTAGGTTTCTTATACATGGTGCTGTGAGGCCTGGATGTCCATGGGGAAAACTGGATTAGACCCCCTCTTCCCCATCTGTCAATCACAAAATACAAGACTCTGAAACTATAAAACTACCAGAAGAAAACAAAAAAGAAGCTTCAGAGCAGAGGAACGAGCAAAGAGAGAAAAATGCACAATGGGCATAAGCCTCCATGCGCATCTTTCACAAAGGATTGACAACTAACACACCCATGACAAAAAGTCAATATCCAGAATTCATATGGAATCATATATGGAATCCAAACAACTCAACAGCAAAAACATTTCTCAATACAATTAAAAGTGGGCAACCTGGCTGGGTGTAGGGGGTACCACATCTTTAATCCTAGCATTCAGTAATATTAGCTATTATCAAAGAGACATAGATAAGTCCTAGGTCCTCCCCCCTCCGTCCATATCTAGGAAGGTGAACATCCAAACTGGCTAGGCTCCCACAAAGCCAGCACATTACGTAGGTTCAAAACCCCGTGCCATTGTCCTTGGGTTCTCATCAGCCCTCATTGTTCGCCATGCTCAGAGAGTCCAGGAGGACCTAGGACTTACCACAGGGCAGGGAACCCTGACTGCTCTTTGGGCTGGAGAGGGAGGGGGAGAGGAGTGGGGGGAGGGGGAGAAGGGTGGGAGGAGGGGGAGAAGGGTGGGAGGAGGGGGAGAAAAATGGGAGGCTGGGAGGAGGAGAAAATTTGGTTTTTTTTTTCTCCTTTTCTCAATAAAAAAAAAGTTTAGAAAAAAAAAAGAGACATAGATAAGCCAAAAGGTTATATATAAAATTATTAATCATTAAAAAAAAATCAAAGCCACGGTGAGATGCTAGTTCAACCCAGTTAGGTTAGCTATTATCAAAGAAACAGAGATATTATTGCTCTTGGTCTTTCTGCTAAGACCAAATGTAAAATCACAAAGGAGCAAGTGCTGGCAAGGATAAGGCAGGGACATTTGATAGGAACAGGATAGCAAAGTCATTGTACATCACTGAACATCAGTATAAGATTTTCTCAGAAATTAAAAATGGAATCAGCATATGATCTAGCAATCTAACTACAAGGATGATAAGACCATTACAGCAATGATACAACTACATTCCCTATTCATAAGGGCCAAGAAAGAGAAGCAATCTGTTTGCCTACCACCTAATGAACTGATATAGAAAATGGTATTCATGCATGACAGAATACTATTAATAAAAAAAATGAATGACTGAATTTTATGGCAACACCCATGAAACTGGAAGTCAATGTTTTAAATTAAATAAGCAAGGCAGCACATTAAAATGAGTATTGCATGATCTCACTTGCATGTAGAAAAGAGAAAGTAGGAAGTCACAGGAGGTCCCAGTAGAATGGTGGCTCCCAGAGGTTGGGAGGAGAAGGGAAAGAGGGATGAGCTAGAGTGACTGCTGAGTACCGAGTAATTGTTAGAACATGTGATATGATGCTGTGCACTGGCGTGACGGCCTGTATTTATAACAGCAGTGTGCACGGATGTCCTGACACTGGTGGAAAGGATTTTAAATGTTTCCATCACAAAGAAATACTTGAGGATAGGAATGTTGATCCTGACTTGTATGCAATGCATACACAAGTTAAAACATCAAAATATACCTCTTAAATGAATTTCCATATCAGTAATAGTAAAAGGAAGGGATGATAGAGAAATACAAGAAGGACCATGGGGACATTTTCAAACCTACGAAGATAGGACAACTAGCAAGGTAGTACACTCACCCGCCCCCCATCTGAGTATATAACAAAAACAGCCAATTTCTTTCTGAATCACCCACATGAATGACAAATAGCTAGATAATGAGGGTCTTGTGCTGTGTATTCATTTGCAGCACAAACTGAAATTTCTGCAGATCTCTGAAGGTGTTACCTGACACAGGTGTTATTCCACACAGGGAAAACAAAACAAGAAACAAGAACGGCTGATCAAGCACTGTTTGCTTGTTTCACTGGAGAAAGAAATCCTAAAGAGTTCAAGTAGAAACAAATCCCCTTCCTTCCCCTGAGGTGACGAGAAAGCTAATTAAAATTTGCTTTTCAAGCAAGGTATTGCTGGGAGACTGCTTTTTTTCCAAAGGGAAATTCAGAAAAGGTTAGTAAACAAAAGACCACGGTACAGTACCAGGAGTAGTTACTATGTACACAATGAATTATACAACAAAGGCCTTTCAAGGAAATTTGCTATGCACTTGTAGGTACAAACAAACCTGTGTGCACAGGAAGTTAAATATGAAATCTATGAACATCGTATCAAACAATGTTTGTTAAATGCATTTTTTAACTTTATCTCATTATATTTCACTATAATTAGTAAATGGGTTCTGTCACTTACTGTTTTAGAGACATATATATTCCATTTACTTTGGTTAACTTTAAGTTAATTGCATCTATCTGTCAACCCTAACAGGAAGGTGACTGAAGATTTATAATAAGCACCTCTAACACACACACACACACACAATCAATCAATCAATAAATAAATAAATAAATAAAATTTTAAAGTGTAAATAAATAAGTGTAACAACAAAAATTTTAATAGAAATCCTCCCTTTAGATTTACTGGGTTTCTCACTCCTGAGTTTTCTGTACACTATTTTCCTGCACTTGTTACATTCTAATATAGCGGATGGGCATAAAGACGCAGAGGTGACGCAAGGGAAATGCCCTCGTCAGGTGGGTGTAAGAGTGAGCAATTCTTACTTTTCCACAAGCGGCTCACATCATGATTAGCCCAACATGACAAAGAACAGATGATTCCCAGGACTTCATGCAGGGCAGATGACTGGGAGCTTGTCCTCTGTCTCTGGTAGCTCCTGGGGTCCTCCTGCTCCCATCCCACACCTGGCAGCCCTGGCCTAACTCACACACTGACTATTCTAGCAGCTCTCACAGGAGGCTCCCTTTCCTATTCCTGCTCAGATCAGCCCCTTAGATGCTCAGAAACGGATGGTTAGTGTCCCAAAACCATTTCCTCATGCAGGCTGTGATCCCGTGCAAGAGGCTGGCGCTGTGCACGGAAACACTTACCGCGAAGTCACAGCCGGTGCTCTTCTTTATGTCGTCGACAGTCAGGCCTTCCCAGAGTTCAATCAGTGTCAGCCCGTTCTTCTTGTCCACGTCAAACACAGCCTGAGGAAGTCAAGAAAATGACAATGACCACTTTCGTCATGAAAATTGTCACACAAAGATAGATGGGCGTTCAAGTTCCTAGAAGAGAGAAAAGATCCATGACCAAAGACTGAAAAGCAACAATGAAAAAATGTCCACTATAACTATTGTAAATGATACCAGATCCTTAACCAGTCATTATTTGGTGACTACATTGGCATCTTCTGGCATTGTAATAAGTTTTGAGTTTTGTTTTTTTAAGCTGTCTTCCATTTGTTAGCTCTAACACATTGACCAGAGAGGTGAGCAACAATCTGAAGAGGGAAAGGAATGAACAGAGAGGGAATGAGACAGGGTAGAGCTGGAAAGAGAAAGGATAAGGATGTTGGGAAAATGCTGCTTGGTAAACAATTGTAGGAAACAAAAGGAGACACTGTGGTGCCCAAGAGTAATTATAAACTAAAAGCTTCCCTGGCCCTGAAAGGCTAGCCAGCCTAACTAAGTAGCTGTTCAAATTCTTTCTGGTAAAGCTCTTCAACCTTTCAATTCCCAAGGAAAGACATGGGACCCAAAAGGAGGGCATGAGAACCCACAGCCTTTTGGTGAGCAGTTCTAATGGCTGTGGTAGTGTCTAAGGCAGACAGGAATGCCGACCCCCGCCTGAACAATAATCCATCTCCAACATCACAGCCATTGTACCAGCTCGTGATGGTACCACCATAGCATCACCTGACTCGGGAAAGGACTACAAAGCCTTTATCACAGCTTTCTATTTGAGACTTCTTCAGAAGTCTTCTGAGATGGTTTCTGGGCCATCTCGTTCTAGGGTATTTACTTCTTGGGGAATATTATGTGCTGGTAATAACAAGGAAAAAAAAACAAAAAACAAAAAACAAAAAACAAGCTTTAACTATGAGACCCAGATGCTTCTCCGGGGCTTCAAACCCTGCTCTACAAGGTCTCTGTGCAGCAACATGGCTTCCTCTGTCAGCTCTCATAGGGAGTTTCCTTTCTTAGACTTAAAGGTTATGTTTCCCAGGTTTTCTTCCATGGACTTAAATTTATCTATTATTTGTAGTCTTCTGTCTTTACATTCAAACACCTTTGATGTCAAACCCTAAACTGTCATGCTTAAATACAGCACAAGCAAGAAGGGAACGCGCAGGGGGAAGAACAGTGACTTTTGAGCTGTCTTGTCACACACACAGCTCAAAACCTCGCAGCTAAGTGGTCTGGGGAACTTGTCTTTACAAATGTGATCAGTTTTTTTTTTTTAAATTTATTTATTTATTAAGGATTTCTGCCTCCTCCCCGCCACCGCCTCCCATTTCCCTCCCCCTCCCCTATTCAAGTCCCCCTCCCTCATCTGCTCGAAGAGCAAACAGGGTTCCCTGACCTGTGGGAAGTCCAAGGACCGCCCATCTCCATCCAGGTTTAGTAAGGTGAGCATCCAAACTGTCTAGGCTCCCCCAAAGCCAGTACGTGCAGTAGGATAAAAAACCCATTGCCGTTGTTCTTGAGTTCTCAGTAGTCCTCATTGTCTGCTACACATGGGCACAGGAGACCACTTCCTATGTATAACCCCAGCAGCACAGACATTAAGGGCCTCATTGAATAAATGGGACCTCCTGAGACTGAGAAGCTTCTGTAAAGCAAAGGACACTGTCACTAAGACAAAAAGGCAACCCACTGACTGGGAGAAGATCTTCACCAATCCCGCAACTGACAAAGGTCTGATCTCCAAAATATATAAAGAACTCAAGAAACTAGACCGCAAAAGGCTAATCAACCCAATTATAAAATGTGATCAGTTTTTGTGAGCACACAAAAGCCTCCCTGAGGCTGTGGTACAGGACACATATAGGAAGATAATACATTCTCTGCAACATGTCTGGGCCACAGTATAGGTGTGGTATTACTCCTTCGCAGAGTGCCTAAGCCAAGGCAAAGGCCTAAGATAATCACTGTCTCCAGCCGGTTTATATTTTCCCTCCAGTGGGAACAGCACAGGACAAGGGATGCTTCCTTTCCTTGTTTGTTTGACAACATGGCTGATTCTACTGAAACGATGATTTAAGAGGAATTAGGTTTCATCTGGTGGTCTAAGGCGCAAACAAAAGTTTGATAAAAATGGAGAGGAAAATCTAAAAGTTAAATTGTTAACAGCTAATCAAAAATGATACTGAAACTACCTTGTCTTACAGGTAAGTAATTTAATTACATTATTACTGCCATAAAGGCTACGTTATGGATCCGATAGTTAATTACAGCCAGGTGCTGATGAGGAAGCTAACTTTTATAACCCAATCCATACAACAGGGAACAATTATAATTGCTTTCAAAGGGCAACCTAATGGAATTTTCCTCAGTGCTGATTATGGAATTCTGGTTCCTTAACTGCCATTGCCTTTAATAGCACTGCACCCTCATCCACTCATCCAGCAGTGTCTATGGAGCACTGCACCCTCACCCACTCATCCAGCAGTGTCTATGGAGCACTGCACCCTCACCCACTCATCCAGCAGTGTCTATGGAGCACTGCACCCTCACCCACTCATCCAGCAGTGTCTATGGAGCACTGCATCCTCATCCACTCATCCAGCAGTGTCTATGGAGCACTGCACCCTCACCCACTCATCCAGCAGTGTCTATGGAGCACTGCACCCTCATCCACTCATCCAGCAGTGTCTATGGAGCACTGCATCCTCATCCACTCATCCAGCAGTGTCTATGGAGCACTGCACCCTCATCCACTCATCCAGCAGTGTCTATGGAGCACTGCATCCTCATCCACTCATCCAGCAGTGTCTATGGAGCACTGCATCCTCATCCACTCATCCACTCATCCAGCAGTGTCTATGGAGCACTGCATCCTCACCCACTCATCCAGCAGTGTCTATGGAGCACTGCATCCTCATCCACTCATCCAGCAGTGTCTATGGAGCACTGCATCCTCATCCACTCATCCACTCATCCAGCAGTGTCTATGGAGCACTGCATCCTCACCCACTCATCCAGCAGTGTCTATGGAGCACTGCATCCTCATCCACTCATCCACTCATCCAGCAGTGTCTATGGAGCACTGCATCCTCATCCACTCATCCACTCATCCAGCAGTGTCTATGGAGCACTGCATCCTGCACCCTCATCCACTCATCCAGCAGTGTCTATGGAGCACTGCACCCTCATCCACTCATCCAGCAGTGTCTATGGAGCACTGCACCCTCATCCACTCATCCAGCAGTGTCTATGGAGCACTGCATCCTCATCCACTCATCCAGCAGTGTCTATGGAGCACTGCACCCTCACCCACTCATCCAGCAGTGTCTATGGAGCACTGCACCCTCATCCACTCATCCAGCAGTGTCTATGGAGCACTGCATCCTCATCCACTCATCCAGCAGTGTCTATGGAGCACTGCACCCTCATCCACTCATCCAGCAGTGTCTATGGAGCACTGCATCCTCATCCACTCATCCACTCATCCAGCAGTGTCTATGGAGCACTGCATCCTCATCCACTCATCCAGCAGTGTCTATGGAGCACTGCATCCTCACCCACTCATCCAGCAGTGTCTATGGAGCACTGCATCCTCATCCACTCATCCAGCAGTGTCTATGGAGCACTGCATCCTCATCCACTCATCCACTCATCCAGCAGTGTCTATGGAGCACTGCATCCTCACCCACTCATCCAGCAGTGTCTATGGAGCACTGCATCCTCATCCACTCATCCACTCATCCAGCAGTGTCTATGGAGCACTGCATCCTCATCCACTCATCCACTCATCCAGCAGTGTCTATGGAGCACTGCATCCTCATCCACTCATCCACTCATCCAGCAGTGTCTATGGAGCACTGCATCCTGCACCCTCATCCACTCATCCAGCAGTGTCTATGGAGCACTGCACCCTCATCCACTCATCCAGCAGTGTCTATGGAGCACTGCATCCTCATCCACCCTCATCCACTCATCCAGCAGTGTCTATGGAGCACTGCATCCTCATCCACTCATCCAGAATTGTCTATGGAGCACTGCATCCTCATCCACTCATCCAGCAGTGTCTATGGAGCACTGCACCCTCACCCACTCATCCAGCATCCACAAAGGAGCACCTGCTCTGCATGACTCACAGAGGTAAACATTCAGCTTCCTTCCCTGAGATGCCAAAGATTGAGATTAGCTGCCTTGACTTTCCTTTCCAACAGCATCACTTGCAGTTCATGCTGATTGTGGCCACATGCTTACTCCAGTAGTGACTGCACTTTTGAACTCAAATCTCCCTTTGTCTTTTTTTAAATCCCCGGAACATAAAATTGAAGGTGTCAAACTAAACCTCTAAACCTCTTTCTTTCCTGCCCCCTACTCTTCTCCCTCTTCCTCCTTTTTCATCTTTGCCGGGACACAGCAGCTCAGACATTCTCTCCTGTTAGAAAATGCAGGCCTCTCCTTCCTCACCAGCTGTGTCCTACCCATCAAATCAGGTGAGTCCAATCTCCCAAATCTCTCTAGACTATCTCTCTGGGTTGTGATTTGGGACCTTTTGCGTTTTTTACCTAGACCACTGGTGGACCCTTTCAATTAGATTTCTCTTCCTCTTTGTCTATTAGAAAAAACAAAAGTTATACTGTTCTGACTAGTGAAAAATAGTTTCCTAACTAATGTAAAGATCACTGAAGGGTTCCCCATCCCTCTCCTGACAAGAAACACATTTTTAGGAGAGCATCCATATCCCTCCCTGAGCTGACACCTCACTGGATTTTCTTCTGTAGTTCAGAATACAGCTGCCCTCTTGTGCTAAGCTATCCCATTTGCAGGTTCTTCAACAGACGGGGCTTTCTTCCCTCCTCTGAGACTTTGTATGAGTTTCTCCTTTACCTTCTTTGATTTTCTTTTCAATCATAAAACTCCAATTTGTCTTTCAAGACTCACTGTCCAACCTATCAGTTTCCTCAGCAGGATAAGTATGACACTTTTGTTTAAGGAGATGATCGAGTTCAAGTTAGTTACCACGCTAAGCGTCACAGGAGCAGCAATGAAGGAAACAGGCAGAGGTTAGAGGTCATTTCAATACTTAGCTGTCAGTGCTAAGTTAGGCTAAGTGAAAAGATGCAGGGAAGTACTCTCAAGGCATGTAGGGAGGGAGAAGAGATACTTGACAGAGAAACAGAGAGATGCATGCCTGAGACAGAAGGCAAACAGGAAGCGATGGATGGATGGATGGATGGATGCATGGATGGATGCATGGATGGATGCATGGATGCATGGATGAAGCATTCCAGGGAGGGGTGGAGAATGTGTAGCCCCAGAAGCTTGTGGTCCAGGGAGAATGCAACAAAGTTCCTAGAATTTTAATACTGCTGAGGCAGAAGAGTCTTAAGTCAGAAAGACGTCAACTATAAAAGGTGTGACTTGGAAAATGCATTGTATGATGCCACCCAATAACAGTCCTTGGTACTGCTACCAGTTCCTAGCATGGCATCTGGTATGCATCACACTGTGATTTCTAAGGAGTCTGTTATTCTGGCTGCTGGAGATGCTGGATGCCTGCTGTCTAATGCTATGGAATGTGTCTTTCAATGAATGATGATAACCTCCTCCTTCTTTTTGTAATTGTTAGAAACAGTCTGGTTCAGAAAAGGTCTTCCAAAAAGTAGTTTACCAAATGAAAGAAACAATAAGAACCAAAAAAGTAAGTATAAAAGAGGCTCGAAATGGCATTAAGCTTTAGCACCCATGAAAGTTATATTAGGGACATGCAAGTATCAGATGGAAAGAGCTACAGTGAATGGTGGGGACAGTGGGCCACTATGAGGATGCTATTGCTGTGCACTAAGAGGGTGAGAAGCCCCTTTGTGATGCAGGTGGAAACTGTAGCTAGGCTTCCAGGATGGGGGAAATAGAAGAGAGCAGAAGGAGGAGTAGAAGGCTCTGTAGGGAGAAGACCTGGAAGGCCAAGGGCAGGGGAGTAGGGAAAAGATTTACGAGGGAAGGGGGAGGGGGCATCCAATAAGGGACCAATGCTGGAAGATTTCTGGTAAGCATTACTATGGTATTAAAGACATTGGAATTGAAGATGACTCCATCTTAACTGCCAAGCAATGGCTTTTCTCAACAGGCCCTGTCGATAGCTTAGAGAGATTCAGGAATAACAATGACTTTGATGCACTTGCTCTCCATACAGCACATTTATGGAATTCCACACAGTCTCAGGAATACCCGAGCAGATGGAACCTTCCTTTGAAAGCGCAGCTTCTGGGGAGTGTTATATATGTAACCTACTATAGAGCATGCCTTGGGATGTTTCTTCCCAACCTGTAAAGAAGCTAGGGATCCAGACACTGTAACATACGACTGTCATACAGCTCTGGCGGCATCACTGAGAAGGGGGAGAAAACCCAAACAGGCAATTCTGTCCCATGGCTTCATCAAGAAAAACTCCTTCCCAGATGATTTACAGGGCCCATGCCATTCTCACATCCCAAGTTCCAATCTGGGAGAAGAACCTGGCTGTGGACAGCTGTCTGGAATACTTCTCCGAAACGAGCAGTCTTTAACTGTATAACTGGCCAAAGGTTTCCATTTATGAAACAAAATACAGAGGCATGGAAGTGGTGGGTATGTCAGAGAAAGGCCAGAAACCATGGAAGAAACAGGATGTATGTCTTGAGCCATTGTGGTTCTATCCTGCAACTTATACCCAAGTGACTCAAACTCAGTTGTGGGTGAATTTCCTAAAATAAAAACCCAACAGTTTATTCTTGTGATTTTCGTCAGACAAGAAAGAAAGAGAGGAAAGGTAAGGTACACTCCAAACTTTACATATACCACACATCTTCCTATCTTAAGCATCCAAATTTAAGGACCAATAAAGCTCTCGTCTGTCTGGAGCGAACTGAAAGCTACGCAGGATAAGAGTTCCACTTCGTGTGTACAATTCCTGAGAATTGTATTATAAGCAAGCCTACATTTAGAGACATTCATTTTCCCATTCCCCCCTTCCGCAAACTAAATCTTCCAGCTACTGATGTAAGATGGTTTTAGACTGTAATTGTTAAAAAGCCTCACTTGTGCCTCTAAATAAAATAAGGAGGGAGCTGATGTGCGAGGAACCAGACGCAGGAAGGTCCTTTACCTTTTCTGTGATGATGCGGTTGACACATTGCTTGCCCGTCAGCGGTAACGTACACTTCTCCATGATCTTATGTGCATTTCCCTGTTTTAAAGAACAACAAGAAAACATCAACAATACTATTCAGAGGGTAAGTCCTGCTTAGAATCGGTGTGACTATGGGAAAACCAGAAATGATCAGAGACATTGACTTTTAAGTATAGACTATTTCTAAGCCTTTGCAAAGTCAAGCTCTCCTCTCTCTCAAGTCAGTTTCCACGCCTGGAATAATACAGGAAGGACCCCTACAAGTAACCAAATGCATAAGAGATTTATTGGGGAGCCCTGTTCCACATGTGAGTACTCCCAAGCCTCAGTTCTTGTACTCCCTAATGTGCAGTTCCAACTCTCATATTCTCATTTTTCTCTCCCAAAGAATGGCCCCTTAAAAAACATCTGTACTTACTTGCCAAGAGTAGGAAGTATACATGGAAAAGGAACCTGAAACCCAGTCTCCTTCTCAAACAGACTTAATCTTACTTGTTAAAAAAGTAACAGATGCACAGAAAATAGCAATGCCTTGCTTCCATTTTCAATAGGAAAACACCTCAATTTTCTTCCATATTTTCATGCATTTTCTCCTACATTGAAAACATTATATTTAGCATGCTATTTATCCCTTGCTATCAATTTAGAGATTATCTACTCACTTATTTTTTATGGCACATGAGCACTTAACTCTCTTACAAGTTCCATTTGCAGCCCCAAAGTCCCCACCATCATTTTCAGTCCTCCCAGTCACAATTTGTTGCTAATTTCAACCATCAGAATTGATTTTACTCTTACCTAATGCCCATGCAAAACAGACCACTGCTTGGCCAGTATGCTATATTCTCTTTCTCTTGTGACCATATTTGTTCCTTGAGATGGAGCTCTAGTTTGCTTATTAATAAAACACATAACCTAGTTTAAATGAACTTTCTCTTGTTGACATTTCTTTTACTCACAATTCCCTTTCTTCAAACATAAAACAGAAGAGAGACTGAGTAAAAGTCAGGTTTTACCCAGTAACTCCCTTCCCCAGACCCATCCTAACCCCAAACATAGAAATGGTTTCCCAGATGCTTCTGAGAAGCCCAGCTGAAATATCAGCTCTGACTTCTTCCAGTGATGATTCAACTCCCTTTTATTAATACTATAAAGCACTGGGAACATAATAAACATCTCCTTTGAGGTTGAAGGCTGGCCTAGCACACTGCAGGTCTTGTCTTGAAAACATTAAAATGTCCCTGCTTTCTTTTGGATCTAAACACACCAAATACAATGATGTCACTACCATCATCAGCCATCTGCCTGTTTTGCTTGCTCAAACATCCATCTAAGAATTCGCTCAGATATCTCCCCAGACTGGTGTCAAACCAACTACATGTTTAGAGGCAATGAATTTCAGTTAACAGGATCTAATTACGATTTTACTCTTTGTAGTAACTTGTCAACCTTGCAATGCACCTGTAGTTAAAAAGGTTTCGGTACATGTAAAGCAGTGTAAGGCATAAGAGGTTTTCTAAGGTTTCTGAATAGATGGATGGATGGATGGATGGGTGGGTGGGTGGGTGGATGGATGGATGCCGGATGAAAGGATGGATGATGGATGGATAAATGGATGAATGATGGATGGATGGACTATAAATGGGTGAATGATGGATGGATGATGGATGGATGGATGGATGGATGATGGATGGGTGAATGATGGATGGATGGATGGATGGATGGATTGTTTTTTTAAAAGACAAACTCTATAGCCTTAACTTAGTCAAAATTAGTGTTGACTACATATTAAGTAGCTAAATATTACGCCTTCAAAACCAAGTTGTTTCTAGATTTGCTATGTGAGAAAATATTTACAGATGTAGACCGAGAACCTCGCCTTCACTTCTCTTCCGCTATCACCTCCCGTGTGAGATTTCACATCCTGCATGTCACGGAAGCTAAATTTAACAGCTGAAATTAGGGGACAAACACTGGACTTCTATAGCCGTCAGGTTTTCTTACATTTAATACAGCTCAGATAAGACATGACACAACGCATTGTGACTTCACACAAAGTGAGAAGTCCATAGGCCTCTGAGGGCCACTTCCTGCTGGGACCTCACTTGGTTCTCATTATTTGAGAAAGAGCCGCACTCGGAGTGAAGGGCAGCCTTGGGGATTTTAATGAACAAGCAACTTTGTTTCAGGAGAAATGATGACTTTCAACTGACAGTGTTAATGGTGCCCTATCAACAGAGACCTCTATAAACTATTTTCTACATGAATAACATAGCATAGATAGGAAAGGTGTGGACTTCGCACCAAAAAAACTTTTGAACAAAACCTGATCCTTCACGTTATCTGTGTCAGATCAGTGTGTTCATACTTTCTTGCCAGCCTCATGTTACAGTATTATTAGATTTAAACGAAATCCAGCCATCCAACATTAGTAAGAATAAATGTTAACTGCAATTGTTTATACAATTTATAATTAAAATTCATATAACCTACCAATAATTTCATTATGAGCTTGTAAGTCCCTACATGAAGTCTGACACAGAAATAGACAAAAAAAAAAATGGCCTAAATTAATTTCCTGAGACCCGCAGAACCCAATGAAAAATGGTACCTATTTGGGGACAAACTGTAAGGCTCGCCTAGGAAAGCAGCCCCTGGTGTATGTGTGCAGTTAGAACAACACAGCTAGGTGAATCCATTCACATTTAGCTCCAAGATATAACAGAGATCAAGGACAGAGAAAAAATATAATGCAAAAAGATGAAAAAAAGTCACAACTGCAATGCAGCAATAGGTCAGCTCTCAAGCCCAACCATGACTGACTCCCAGTTTAACACACTCCCTAAGCACGCTGGGCTGTGCATCAGTGGAGCATGGCAACTGCATACACTGGTGAGTCACAAAGCAGGAACAATTGCTGATTCTGAACGGTTAAAAATAAATTCGAACAGAGACGGTCGGGATAGCATGCAAAACATTAGAGAAGTCTGGAGATCAGGATTCTCGTTTAATAGGAACCTGGAGGTGTTTGTTTGGACTTTCAATTCTCTGGGTTGCTAATCTCCTATTGCCTTGATCTGCTTTCCTGATCCTAAAGAACTCACTGATTGTGTTGAAGGTGCGCTGAACTAGGAGGGCTTGAACTGATGCTGAAAAACAGAACCCGGGATTTGGAGTTCATCCTCATCATTCTGATTCTTTTTCATGTTCTCCAAAAGGCAGTTCAGAAAAGGCAGAAGCATGGATACAAAATACAAGAGTTAAAACGTTTTAAGCTAGGTGAGTGGTCCATGCCTTCAGGCCCAAGGCCGTAGGAAGCTGAAGCAAGAAGGATCACTGGAGCAAGGAACTCAGTGCTGACCTGAACAACCCAGCAGGACTTCAGAAAGAGTTTCGCCTAATACTAAGGGCTCTTGATTTCACTAGACTTCATCATAACCTTTATTAATTCCCAAACTCCATTACTTCCAACTATTTCCCTTACGTCTTTCTCCTCTTCAATACCTTAGGTACTTTACAATTTTAGTTTTCAATAACCTGGGCCTCAGAACTTTCTGGTACTTGCTTCCTTGAGATCTATTTAAGTCTTTAGATTTGTATATGAAATCCTAGAACCACATTTTGCAGTAATGAACAACTCTGATTAAATGATAATATTTCTTGCTAATATAACAGTGCATTTTAGGATGCCAAAGTGCACTTAATCTCACGTAATCGGCTCATTCTTTTCATACAACAGAATGTTCTAGGAATTGATGGTTCTCAAGCTACCAGCTACTGGGAAAACACACCAAATTACATCCCATCACCTCAGATTCAAACGGCCATAGCCTTTCTAGTTTTCAGAACAATAACCCTGACACAGTGTCCACTCCAGTGCCCTAGGGACCTCCCAAGTATTATGGTCTTTTTGGATGCTCTACGTTTCCTTCCTCCCACTCCCCATGGTATGCTGTTCATCTCCTATCAATTCCTAATAGCTTCTGAGCTTGCTCAAGGCTGACACCATTCATCTCTGCATCTACAGGGATGAGAAGAGCGCTAAGCAAACCTCAGTGACCCATACATGCTGTCTGGATATTACAACCTGATTCAGAGACCTCTGACTGAATTGGAGTTATAAAATACCATGTGACTAAGTACCTGTGGACTGCCTGGGGCGTCTTTCTGGCTCTCAGGAATATACTTGCACAGTTCCAGTATCTCTGAGCTCAACAAAAGTTCATCTAACAGAAGTGATTGAAAGGGGGTCACAAGATTTGAGGAGAACAGCAAAAGGATGGGGCAAAGACATATCAGGCCTGTAGTGTGAAGCACAGAACTTCAAAGGGAGAAATGAAACTAGTTTCTGCACCTTCCCCTTGCTCCTTCCTGGTTGCCAAAGCTTGTCATAACCTCCCACAGTGCTCAAGGTTTAATATTAGAAGTTAAATATTCTCCAATATTTAGTCTTTAGTACAAGGAATCCAATATCAGATCTCTCTTTAGCCTGAACACAGCATCACAGAAGCCTGTTAGTCAGCTTGTTAGTGCCTTCTCCCTGGCCACCCCTCACCATGATGAAGAAAGCAAGAGGATTATTTTCTACACATACATGCACTTCATTGGGGAATGCTGTTTGTGTTACTGATCACATGACTGTCAGGTCACCATGGTGACTGATATGGGGCATAATAAAAATGGATTGGCTAAACAAAGAAAATCAGGTACACCAAATACCAGACAAGAAAGGCCAGAAACAACTTGCTCTCACCAAGTTTATCCTCATAGGACATTTTGGCCTTTCCCGTATCTCCTCAGTGGATCCTAACAGTCTGCAGAGAACCGGTGGAAACAGCTGGCACAGATAATTTTGCTGTTATTATCAATCTTTATCTGTCGATGAAGTAACAGTTTGTGGCAACAGGGACACTCTCAAAGGAGTGAGTAGCCCACTGAGACAATGGATATGGCAAGCCATGTCCCTGTGAATAAGTGTCAGGGTTGAGGTCTTAGGACAGAAGTCCCCTTTCTTCAACGGGATCATCACCATGGCCAGACTTACACTATCTCTGTAA